CGAAGTTCCGGTCTGAATCAAAAGATTCGCGAACCCACTCCGAAGTCCTGATCTGAATCAAATGATTTGAGATACGCTCTCCGAAGTTTCGATCTGAATCAGAAGATTCGCGAACCCACTCCGAAGTCCTGATCTGAATCAAATGATTCGCGAACCCGCTCCGAAGTCCTGATCTGAATCAAATGATTTGAGATATGCTCTCCGAAGTTCCGATCTGAATCAGAAGATTCGCGAACCCGCTCCGAAGTCCTGATCTGAATCAAATGATTTGAGATATGCTCTCCGAAGTTCCGATCTGAATCAGAAGATTCGCGAACCCACTCCGAAGTCCAGATCTGAATCAAATGATTCGCGAACCCGCTCCAAAGTCCTGATCTGAATCAAATGATTTGCGATACGCTCTCCGAAGTCCTGATCTGAATCAAATGATTTGCGATACGCTCTCCGAAGTTCCGATCTGAATCAGAAGATTCGCGAACCCGCTCCGAAGTCCTGATCTGAATCAAATGATTCGCTAACCCGCTCCGAAGTCCTGATCTGAATCAAATGATTCGCAATCTGCGTTCCGAAGTCCTGATCTGAATCAAAAGATTCGCGAATCCGCTCCGAAGTCCTGATCTGAATCAAATGATTTGCGATCCGCTCTCCGAATTTCCGATCTACTAACGATGGGATTGTATTACACTAGTGTAGATGTATTTTTGAATGTCAATTTCCGTCTAGACAAACTTGTGACATGGTAACATGAATCCATTACACTAGAGTGTCTTTCAAATCTTTTTATTACTCAAATCTTATTTAAAGAAAAGCCAAAACATCATAAAAAGTTTCCTTTTCAAATTTATCCTCTAATAAACACTGAAAACAAAAGAACAGAATGAATCACCCTTCAAAAACAAAATCACAGATGCTTGAACCCATAAACCAGGACACACCTTCACCCGATCTCCGTTGGGTCCCGTGGGTTCTGCTGGAAATGCTGGTCTGAAGTTTCCTCTTAAAAACCCTAAAACTTGTGTGAATTTGTGTTTTCACAGTCACTCGCTCTACTGTTTCAAACCACAGATATGAATTGAACTGTTTTTGAAAAAAGTTACGCAATGTTCACACTTTCAAAGTGTGAATTATTAGCTTTAAAAGCTAATAATTAAACAATAAAAATATAAAATTAAAATACATTTTAAAATAAAAACCAATCAAAATAATATACTTACTTAAAATTAAATAATAAAAATATAAATACAAATTTTAAAAACAAGGACAATTAAAAAAAATTCTAATAAATATTAATTAAAATTAAATAATAAAAATAATTATAAAAAATAAAATTAAATAATTTTAAATGAATAAATTAAATATCATAAAATGTTATATATTTAAAATAAAAGTTAAAAATAAAAATATATCACTATAAAACAATTTGAATAGCCCAGTTCTTTTAAATGTCAAAACATTTTCAATTATAAAAGGGGAAAAAATATGAAAAATGTAATTTTAAGTACAATAAAAACAAAGTAATAAAACATATTAAAATTAAATAATTTTAAAATAAAAACAAATCAAAATAAACCATTACTAAAAATTAAACCATAATGTAAAATATTTTTTAAAAACATCCAAATAAAACTAATTTAATAGTACTTCTAAATTAAAACACATTTGAAAAACAAACACAAATAAAAATACTGCAATTTTAATTGAAAAAAAAAAACAAATAAAAAAAACCTAAAATATTAAATAATTTTAAAATAAAAACAAATTAAAATAAAACAAAAATATAAACATCAAATATTTTAAAAGCCTCAAAATAAAAAATATAAAAAATTAAAATATAAAAAAATAATTGTAAATAGAATAAAACTAAAAATAAATATTTTATTTGAAAGAATGAATCACAATTCTAAGGTGAATATGAACTAAGATGATGGTGTATGAAAAAACTAAATGGCTAAATCACATTTAACTGAACCGCTTTGACACTCTTATTTGAATGTAATGCAGCAGAAATGACTGTAGATGCAGATGTGAAGAAAATGAGCTCAAGAACACGCCGTCGAAAGTTCAGACGGGGCTCAAATGATGTCCTGACATTCGTTTAACTTTAAGAGAATAAAAATGCTGTCGTTCTCAACAGCAGGCGAGTCGCGCTTTCAGCAGCTCCATCATCAAAAAGCCAGCAAGACTCACAGATGGCAAGTGTGTGTCTGCATACGCTAAAGGACACGAGCGCTGAGGCGGGAGGAACGTCTCCGTGAATGACTCAGGAGCGCTCAACACCTGCTCGAGCCTGCGGGAACCCACCGGGGCCACGAGAAGGGCATGAGGACAGTCAGGAGCGATTTCGGCGCGACAGGTTCCTCATCAGCATCGCTGGAGGTCACCTTAAGGCTGATGATACAAGGGGCAACTTTTTGAGCAATGTTGCCATCAATGGGCAACCAGGTGAGACACAGGGCCCACGACCGATCTAAAGTATCCAGATCGAAATTTGTTACCCATTCTCAATGGGAAAGTGCCCAAGCAACAAAATTGGCAAAATTGCTCAAAAAGTTGCCCACTGTATCATCAGCATAAGAGAAGATCCTGTAGAACTATAAAACGTTCACACTGCGGATAAACGCGGCATCACTCCTCTTCTGAGCGTCTCATCGCGATCAGCTGCATGTTGATGCATCTCATGCTAAACTGTTCTCAATGGTTTCTTGTAGAACACAGAACTTCACATGCGGCTGTGTCCCAAATCACATTCTAATTCTACTGTAACCTACAAGTGTGTACTTCACTGACGTTGGGAAAGAACATACTTTTGGGTGTGTAGTAACACATTAAGACACAATTCATTAAATCATAAAAATGTTCAATATTTTTAAGATCAAAAATAAAATAAATCATAAAGATGTAAAATTAAATTTAAATTAAACAATAAAAACAAAACACTGAACATGAATCAAAATAATAAAAATGTAAAAAAATCATTAAAATAACAAAATTAAAACACTTACTAAATTAAATTATAAAAATAAAAAATAATTTAAAAATAAAAACAAAAATGAAAAACTGAACATCTTAAATCTTAATGTAAATAAAATACCATAAGTAATTAAATTGTAAAAATACACAAAATACATAGTTTTAAAAATGTAAATAAAATATTGATAAAAATTTAAATTAAAATAAATGATTAAAAATAAAAATAAAACACTTACTAAAAATATATATAATAAATGTAAAATGAATAAATGATTAAAATAAAAACAAAACACTTAGGAAAAATGTATTAAATCATAAAAATGCTAAATTAAAACAAATGATTAAAATAAAAACAAAAAACACTTATTAAAAATGAATTAAATCATAAAAGGCAAAATTAAAATACATAATTAAAATGTAAAAAATAATCAAAATGAACCCTTACTAAAAAAAGATGATTGATTTGATTTACCTGCATGTCATGTGGCCATTAACCAACATCATAGAACTGTGTTAATGCGAATGTGTTGTTAAACTATTGAAATACTCATTTATATTCTCTGAGCAATTCTTTAAGGTCAAAGGGGTTCGGCTGACAAAATGTTTTTGAATCTCTGGTTTAAAGAGTAAGATGTTTCTCATCTCAGCCATCGCTCACACCAATCCCAGACCCAACACCAGCGTATCAGGAGCTCTTCCTCACAGAGAAGATGAAGCATGAACATCAGCTGATCAGATTCCTCCTTTACTGTTCAAATGCACTTTCTGGACTCTGTGGATCTTGCTGATGAGTGTACATAAAGAGATGATCAATAATCAACTGCTTAACACAATAAAAGTAATAGAATTATAATAACAACAACAACAACACAATAATAATAAAACAACAATAGCAGCTGTAGAAACAACATTAACATATTAAGAGCAAAAGATCTTGAGAAAGTTTCCTCTTTGGTTTAGAAACGACCTCCATTCATTCTCAACTACACAAAACTACAGGAACTACTTCTTCTATTGCTTTAGACTGATTGAGTTCAACATCACACATCCTTCATCCATGTTTCTGCTTTCATTTAGCTTTTTAAGTTATTTTTGAATTATTTGTGATGTTAAGTTAATTTAAATAAAGGTTCAGCAGCAAATGTAATGTTTAAGTGGATCAAATTAGATCTTAATGTAAAATGAAAATAGGTAAATTTAACATTTAAAAATTAAAAATAAAAACTAGCAGAATAAAATTAAATAAAATATGCAAAATTGAAATAAATGATTTTAAATGAAAACATAAAAAAGAACAGCATAAAAAATCTTACTAAAAATAATGAAATAATAAAACTGTGAAATTAAAATAAATAAATGATTAAATTAAAAACAATCAGATTATTATTACAAAGCAGGCTTTAATTTAATTTAAAAATTAAGGTTTAAAAGCAAGTATAATATCAATAATGAAAGATATATTTATGTAAAAAATCTAACATATGAGGCAAAGCAAGCTAAAATAAAGTTAATTTAAAAATTAAGGTTCAACAGCAAATCTAATGTGTAAACAAATCAAAATGTATATATAAAAACAATTAAAAATAAAAAAGCATGTTTATCAATTGCAGCAAACTGCTGTACTGTTTTTCCCTCTTTGTGAAAATGAATGTTCGGTAAAATGCAATCCATTCAGGAAAATTATAATTATTATTCTTCAAGTGAAGAAAAGGTGAAGTCAGGATTCAGTCCCATCATGATTTACACATGATACCGGATATTAAACAAAATTCAGATGTATTCAAAATTAAGGCAACTGAGATTTGTGTAAATTCCTATAAAACCAACATTTGACAGAAGAAAATCAACAGAATGTGATATCTTAATATCGGAGGAAGATCATCCGTGTTCTTCTAATCATTTATATATCCACTCAGTGTTTTCATATTTATGAACTCTCTGAAGAAGATTCAGTCCAACAAACATAAAAAATCACGAAATAAAGCTCATGAGCTCATGAAGCGGCCCTGCGGGGTCCTTCAGTCCAGCTGGGAAATAAGTCAGTGTTTTTGGTGCTGAGGTCACCTGGATGTTCATCATGTGTCTGTATTTTCAGTGCAGAGCGTCTGATCTCCATCAGAAGACAACGCTGACGTACATTCACCTCTTCAGGATGCTATCTGAGAACAACACACAAAATCATCATCCATCACACTGAGATAGAAATGCATCTACAGTGCTCAAACGAAACTACATGCAAATGCAAATGCAAAAAACAAAAAAAACATGAGCGTTTGTAAACTAAATGAAACAATAATGCTTGTATCCGTTAGTTTTGCATTAGGTATTATGAACAGGTATTGTGAACTAACAATGAACAATACATTTGCAGCATTTATTAATATATTAATAAAATATATTACAACATTTATATGAATGCATTAAAAAACAATATGTTTACAGCATTTATTGACACACAGACACACACACACACACACACACACACACACACACACACACACGCATACTTG